GGTGTGAGTGTTTGTATTGCTTATCCCTACACATCCCGACCCTCAATTATTTGGTTTAAATATCTAAGAATTTCAATCATAATCAACAATCAGTAAATAGAAGTAAAAAATATTGATACAAATGAATAACATCTTTCAATCAGTATTCAACAAATAATGAATGATTTTAATTTCAATGTAAATCTTTTTTTAGTGTGTTGATATGGTATGTTACATTTGTTTACAACATAATGATCATAATGTTGTATCAAGTTCATTGGAAACACATGAAATTATACTTAAATATTCAAATTTATTTGATTTTGATCAATTATTCATTTCAACCCAAATTGGATCTATAGAAGAAAATCGTGTTAGTGAAGCCTTAAAAACAGGTAAATATTGAGAAAAAAAAACAAGAAATTTTTTTGTCATTTGTTTTTTTTCTAAAACAATAGCTTATTCAACATGTCAACGTTGATTTATTGAAATGAATGATAAATTCGATTCAACATCAATGATTAATAATGAAAAACGAACATCAACTGTTAAACTTGTTAATCAATTATTTTTTTTTTCCGATTAGATATATACTTCATATGGATGGTACGATAAAAAGTAATGATGAATGTTAAATGTGCTATACCAATATGTCTATCGTATTTATAAACAATTTGATCCATTTGTTTATCTTACTAAAAGTATGTTTAATTCTTGTTTGACTTTTTTTTATAATCCAAAATTATTTCTAATATCGTAACAGTAGGAGGGCTTAGGTGAAGGGGATTATGGCAGAGTTTAGTTGACGTGGCTTCAATTGGTTAAAGTCTCAAAGTTTTAGTGAAAGTTATCTGATAGATATGACAATTTCACTATTAAATTGTTGAAACATATATATATATTGGAATCTGAAAATTCAAGAATGGAGATTTCTCGATATTGATTCATCAGCTCTAGCCCTATTCCTATTTTTAATTTTTTTGGAATCAACAAAAGACTAGAACATTATCAGACTCGAAAAGATATCAAGTAGAACACTCTATTAAAGCTCAAAGCCTGCATTTATACATCAGAGATTGAAATTATACAATCACACAATTACCTCAAAAAATAGTTCTAAGCCGAAGTTCGAGATATGAAATCAATTGTATCCTCTAAGAAGTTTTTCATTAGTCTTTGAAGATTTCTGATTAAATAAAAATTTTGTAACTGATATGAAATTTCCTAATGAGAAAAATGAAATTCTCATCTCATCTCTATATGACTTGAAATACATTAAAATTTACCGAATATCAAGGTCTCTTTTTTTTCTTTTCTTTAAGATATTACATATCTTTTATCTTTATGTGAACACGGTAATCTACATGTACGTGGTGCATGTGCAAATTTACTTGTTACATTAATTCCAACAACAAATCATCTTTTAACACTATCATCATTATCAAATTCTTTTATTAATCAATGTTCACTTGTATCAACTGATTCACAAGATAGTTCAAGATTATATGTCTTAATGATAATAATGGACGTGTTATACATGTTTTATTAAATGCTTTACGAACATTATTACCTTTTTTTATCAATTAATAGTCATGCATTTACAATCATAGGAATTAAATTATTAGAAGATTCTATTCAACATACTACAAGTTCCTGTATTCTTGCTAAAGTAGATAAAAGAAATTTATGATAATAATAATTTTTTTTTGTATGTATATAAAATAGTTTGCTCTAGCTCAACTTATAGATGATATTGATTTTCGAATATTAACTTATCTTGAACAACAATTAAAACAACAGTACCCTGATATACGTGTTCGTCAAGCAATTACTTCGACTTTTGCTAAGTATGCATTTTGTAGGGATATTAACTAGGTAGTTTTTTTTCGAATTTGAATGATGAAGTCGATTTTATTACATTAAGTTAGTTATTAGCTACTTTTTGATTTTAAGGTTTGTTGATCACAATTCATTTTTACCATGTCAATGGATATATAAAATTCATCATTCATTACAAGCTCAAGCATCAACTCGAATACAAATTGTTTGTCATGTTTGTCTTTTATATAGGTTGGATGTTTAGAAGATATTTATGTTCTTTCAAATGTTTTAAGATCAACAACAATTCGACCAATTTTTTCATAATCAATATGATGAACTTCGTTTATTTATAAATTTTTTTAAACATCCCTTTATATTACATGATCTTAATAATTTAATCTTTTCAAGTAAAGGGAAAAAAAAGATATTTATTATGTTTTTTTGAATTTTTTCTTTTTATTTGAAGATTTATCAAATCTCAGCAAACGAAAAAATGTTTTGAAAGTAGCACAAATGATTCAAGTAATTCGAAAAATTGAACTATTTTATCATCATTCTTTTGGACAGAATATAGTTGATATTTCAGTTTTCACAGAAGAAGAGAGTTCCAAAGTTTTAAATTTGAAGAATATATTTGGTCATGTCTTATCTAAAGGAATTCATTTGTTTTCTCTTTTTAAATAGAATGAAAAAGATTCATCAACAACATCAAATACAGACAAAGTTAAAAAAGTTAATCATACACAATTAGGTACTTTTGGAAATTATCCGAATTAATACGTTCATCTTATCAAATACATAAAAGTTTATTAAATTCATCAGAAATGATCATTATTGTCTATGAAATCAGTTTTAAGTCTTATTTCTACACAAGATTTATCAAAAAAATTTGGAAGAGAAACACTTAATTATTTTAAATCAACATTCAATGTACACAAAAGGTAACTTCTTTTAAATAGTAAATATTTATTGTAAAGAAAATTTCAATTATTAATCTTCTTTATTTATTGTTTAAGCTAAAACCTTTAGGATGTTGTATTGTGTCTGAAACTTGTCTATGGATAAAACTTTAGATGGAAATCTTATAATTAAGGTTTCTGAAAGGGTCTTTCCTAGGTAAGGAAAATTTCAATATAGATAACAGAAAAACTGATTTTACGAATATCGATGATCTTAACGAGAGTAGTTTTGTTGTGAAAGTGTCAGATCTTTTGATTCGGTTCTATCTTGAAATTCGAATATTAAATCATCTAGTTTACGTCAGTGATCTGCAAGACACGCTATCAATTCGAAATTTGAAAATCATTTTTTTCTGTTAACATAACATTCATTTAAAAATATTCTTTTAATTTAGTTTTTATTAAATCTTCAAATGTTTCTTCACAAGTATTATTAAATAATTCTTTAACTTATATTCATACAATAAATATTCGACAATCGATAATTTATTTTATTTGGTTCATGTTATGCATCAAGTATAAATAGTGATCAATCCATAGAAAATAGTGCAATACGAGAGTAAAATAAACAAAAAAAACGAATTTGATTTATTCTGTCTGTTTTTTGTTTTCTATTTTAGTTTTAATTGAACTTAAAAATTAGTCTTAGAAAATATATTAATACAAATGAAAGTGATTTTCAAGCTGCTGTACTCGATTTACTTGTTCAATTACTTTTAATTCGTGTTAATTATAGTTAATTAGAAGCTGATGAAATTCGTTGCATTTCTAATCGTTTCGTTTATTTTTGAATGGCATTTTATCTATTGTATTGCTGAATTTCTTGTTATGTTATCACATGATACACTTCATTCAAAACAAGTTATTAAAATA